TAACATCCAGATGAGCATAGATGGACCACTACATCTTTTTCTGCTATAAGCTTTCTAAGTTTTTATGTTTCTAAATGCTATGACTGTCAGTAACTCTATCATAGAGCATTTTCATGAGAGGAGTGGGTAGATTGCTGAGCAATAAACAGATAGCCCTGAGCAGATTCAATGGCTGAAAAGAAAGCCAGAAAAAACCAAAAACAGACTGATCCAAAAGGAACAGGAAAGTTGACTAAGAACTAATGCTTTGCTGGGAAGCTTGTTTGAAATTAGTTCTTTGCACTCATGTGATATTGGCATAAAACAATGAGTACAACTGACAAGATGTAAGCCAGTGGTGGCGAACCTAGGGCATGGGTGCCAGAGGCGGCACTTGGAGCCCTCTCTGTGGGCACACGTACCATTGTCCCAGACTTGCCTCCCCCCCGCGACCCCCTCACCAGCAGCTCCCCTGGAGGAGAGTCGCCCCCAAGTGTGGCCCACGCAGAGCAGCGCAGCCAAGGACATGGCAGCCTGGCAGCATGGACAAGACTCTGCCCTCATGCCCCATTGCACACAGTTGATGCTGCAGGGCACAGGCAGAGGGCATGGCCGCCATGGTGCTGCTGGGCTGCCTGGGCGATCTGCGGCGGGCCCTGGAGGCGATGAGTGACCCTGCAGGCAGGCAGGGTGGGGCGGAACAGGGATGGGGCAGGGAGTGGAGCAGGGGCGGGGCCAGTTTTTGGGCACTCGGTCTCTAAAAGGTTTGCCATCACTGATGTAGGCTCTCCAGGAAATAGAAAAACTAGTAATTTCTAATATATTCTGATGGACTGCCATGAAATAGAAATTTAAAAAAACTTCAGAGAATATATTTGGTATAGCTTAGTAAGTAAATGAAAGTAAATACTTTTTAGAATTATCTATATGAACAATACCACTCATATCTAAATTGCTTTAGAAATGTTTATGTAAATAAGAAAATGTTCATGGCCCTTATACCCACTGAACCTATTTAGGATAGTTAGGTAACTAGAATTCAAATGGTCCAGGTCTACCACCTGATGGAATTAATTGTACAATATTGCTTCTTGAAGAAGAAATAAAATACTAGATTCTAGAACAACATGTGCTGGCAGGAAAAATTAAAATGAGCTTTATAATATATCCATTATTTATGAAGAAGCTATTCCATATGATATTGTGATACCTATAAACAAAATAAAAAGACCTTTTCCAAAAGAGATAAGAAATATTACAGCAGATAATGGCAGCACCTAGATATATCTTTGATATGTAAGAAAGGGAAGTGGCAGAACTTAATGAGAAATCTCTTCTATTCCAGGCAGTGATAGTTACTACTTGAATAGGAATTCACACCAACTCACATTTTAAACACATTTAACCTACTTTTCTGTGCTGGTCTTGATGGCTGCCAGCCACAAGCTAGCAGGCTGGTTTCTTGCCACAATTGAGCAATAAAGGAACTCAGGCAAAACAATCTTTTAGAAGCAAAAAGTCCTCTTTATCAGTATCTTAGAACAGCAACTGTAAATGTAGTCAACAGATTTGGTATGGGTTAAGATAAGGAACTGATCAAACAACAAATCTGAGGGGAGAGATAGGAAACAGGATGGAATGGAATCTAGATTTCCAAGCACAACACAGCAAGATAAACCCAATAAATCTGAGACCTGGAAAGTTGTTCTTTGCATTTTCTCCTAAGGACTGAGGCCAATAAATCAACAATGCCAAGTCTCCACCCAAATGTACAGATAAGCTACAACACTCACTAGAGTTTGCTCTTCTGTTGGCCTGCTCTTTGCCAAGCCTCCGACGTTTATCACACACTTCTACTTAAGACTGGGTAGCTGAACTGCAGAATCTAGAAACAGGCAGTAGAGGTAGGCAAAGATTCCTTGGGATTTATTGGATTTGTCTGAACCAGAATGGAGTCCAACACTGCTGGGCTCACCCAATCTGGGATTATTATCTTCTACCTCCTCATCTGAAGACATATCCATATGCACACTTAAGTATAAAACCTCTTTGGGAAATCAGATTCTCTCAGAACAATTATATTCTCTCTCATGTTCCTTTTCTTGCAAGGAGCTTAGATACTCTTGATATACAGTAGTTTAGCTCAAATTTGTGATCAGTCTGCTCTAACCAGGTTTTAAGCTTAAGCACCTGTTCTTATATGTACTGTTAGCAGAATCTTTTGGTAGCAGAGAAGTAAATCTAGATTATAGGTTTAGCTAATGATTAATCAGGTTAATCATAGATTGAAAATGTTCTCAGAAGTAGGAAACTTTAGGAAACTTTAGGAAAGATCTAATCCAGGAAGGTGCTGCATGCTCACATTTTCAGGGATTTATTTTAGAATGAACTCAATTATCATGTTTTACTTTCAGCTCATTTGTCTGGTCATTTTCTCCAAATTGCACAACTTGCTATCAGCAATTTATCGTGGCAAAATATTAAATCACAGATTTCATTATGACACACTAGTAACAGTTTCTGGGTAAGCTTCTTTGGAGACAAGTACAAAGATTATTGATTGATCAAAGTGATCTATGCTAAAAGTCTGGATAAAGGTGAAACCACCTTATATATTTGGCTGAATGTCAGCACAATCATGACAACTTTTACCAGCCTTACCTACATCTTGAATAGGACTCATAGTACTCTCTAGGGCAGTATCTCTTCAATTCTCAATGCCTGCAGAACTTCAGCCCCAGCTCTGAGAATGAGAATGAGAAAAGCAGCTCTGAGAAGGAGAGCAACAAAAGCAAAATTGCATTTGTCCCTGCTATGTTGCCCCCCCCCCAAAAAAAATCAGAATCTAGGTAATCTAAATAATATGAACAGTAAGATTCTAGGGAAGTGTAACAAATCTGGGTATAATCTCTAATCCCCAAAACAACATTAGAATGAGCTATCAAATGGAGTGAGCAAGTCAAGACAATAGAAATGGAGGGCAACTGCTAAGTGATCAATTATTATTATTTATTTCTCCTTCATAGGCTGTTCTTCATTCAAAAGTGAAAGTTCAAGAACTGAGGAAATCCTATCAAGCACTGGAATTAATGAAGGGAACTAAAATGAAACTCATGGAGTTGGACTAATGACAAAAGAATTTCAGTTTAAATGCTGTTATAAGAGGAATTAAAATTGACAATGTTGAAAGTGTTGGCATTAAGAAAACGTCCATTCTAGTACACATGTTTGTGCTGTATTTTGTTTTGTTCTACCTCACTGTTAAGCACTATAGAAGAAGAATAAAATAGTCTTGGCCTCAGAGTACAAGACAGACAAATGACTGCACTATTGTAAGTCAATCTATCAACTTGTGTTGCATTACTAATACTGAAGATAGTACCAGAAGCATGACCAAAGTTGAAATTCATAATGGAGCTGAAAGCAAAGCCTGTGATAGAATAGTTAAATGTACAAGGCTAGACACCTGAAAAGTCTCCTCGGTTCCAAAGTCTTATGCAACTGTTCCTGTTTTTCCAAGCCTAGAATATATGCAGGCAAGAATGTCACCAGTTTTGAGTAGATGGTGGCCTGAATACACAATGTCATACTTGTTTAGCCACACTATCACCCACTGAAATTGTTTCCTTACAAAGACTGCTGTCAAGTAAGAGGATATATTTATGGCAAGAGTATCAACTTTAAATCTGCTAATGTTCATAGAATATTCCTGTAGTTGTAAAACTTCCAAAGAAGAACCCTTTGGCCCATAAACCAGAAGTAAATAAGGATGAGATGCAAAATTAGCATGAGAAAAAAGCATAACAAAAGAGGAAACAAAGGAAAATAAGGACAACAAACAATAACGGAAAGTTTGGGAACTATTACAAGTTTGGGACATCTGCACATTCTTCCTTTATCAAAAGAAAAAAAATCCAGCAGTCTCAACACATGGTTAGCAAAAAGACTGAGGAATCCCCATTGTAATGAATTTAGAGATAAATGGAATTCTACCATAAATGTATGCAGTCACCAAGATTTCTATAACATAACTCCTATTTTTTATTTCAATTAATCAGGTTAATAAGACACTGAAAATCTAATTTGCTTGATTCTGAGCAGTTGCTAAGGGCTTGAAAATAATAGTTAATAATAGTTAATAAGGCATTACCTCAATAAATGAACAAGACAATGTTATGCTGTTAATGCAGCAATATAATAAAATATATAGGGTGACAGAAACTTTTGCAGTTCTAATATATTTGCAAATCCACAGATATAATGAAAAAAGACCAGAAGTACTTCAGGAAATATCATAGACATGGAACAGGCACTGATCACCTAATACTAGCTACTAAAACCTAATATCTACCCACCAAAAGAAACAATTATCACAAAATAGTACTGTTGAAACATATTTTAAAAACTCAGTCCAGGACAACAAATACTTAGTGGTATCAAGAGCTATTGGGAAGCCACCCAAAATTCCAGAAATCATACAACAATATTATACGTATCCACCTTCATACTAGTACAATCCATCCATTAGGTTGAAGAATGACCCTCACAGATATTTTCTCCCCAATGGCAGCTGTGTTGTCTAACTATTACCCATTGCAGTAGATTATATAAAAAATGCCAATGTAAGAATGAAGATTATTGAGATCAATTTTTTTATAAATAAGATTTTTTACTGCTATTTAAAATAAAGTAGAAATCTAATTTGTCTCAAAGAGGCCCTATCCTGTCAAATCTAATCAGTTATGAAAAATGTAAGTTTAAAACCTAAAACCTTACTGACTCAACAACCTAGTCCATATCTGAACTTTATTCATGTGTTGTTCATTAAAAAGTCACTATATAGAACTTTACTAATCATTGGAGTAGATCCTGCTATAGTAGGCTTCTTCAATTGCAAAACTGGCATAAATATTCTGCTAAAATCAACATAAACACTAAAATATGATAATTTTATGCAGCTTAGCTTCAATACAAACATGCAATACAAACTAATTCCAACATAATAGTAATATAGCACTTACTTGTGACCATTCAAAGCTGCATGATGTAAAGCAGTGTATCCTGAACTATCTGTGCAATTTATATTTGGTCCTCGCCAGATACTGAAAATAAAAAATAAATTCCATTGTAACAGCACAAAGTTATTAACATTTAATAAAGGATTAAATATTATTATGAAACAAATCAATGACATTTTGATTGTTATAAAGGTAAAAGAATAATGTTTTAATTTTAACAGTTAAAAACATGGTATGACTATTTTATATATGAAAATAAAGAACACATTTCATTGTAACAATATAAAGGTACAAACATTTTTAAATGATTAAAGATTAATATGGAACAAATAAAAATATTATTTTTGTCATAAAGGTAAAGGAGTAATATTTTAATTTTAATTCTTAAAAACAAGGTATGACTAGTTTATATATTGGAACTTTCATACTGATGGCAACTCCAGGTGAAAAAATTACCATCTCAGAAAAGCTGACTTTTCAAGTTCCTATCCGAAATACATATTTTGTATCCCAGAGTGTAAACTGAAGAATTTGTTGATCAGGAATAAACAAATAGGAATAAAATTATTTTCTCAAGAATACTGGGCTCTGCCTTATAGTATAGAAGAAACTCCAGTATTCCTTTATTTATAATTGCTAAGGAATTATTATTTTTCTCCTTTACCCAAGAATAGGGAAGAAAGGTTCTGAAAAGAGTTAACATTTCAGAGGACAGATTGCTGGTTAAACATTTAATTACAGCATAATGTTCATATTTATTTAGTTATTAATGGCAAGCTTGTTACATTTGTGTTTTGTATGAACTGGAACTAAGAGTTCTTCCCGCAGCTTACTTCCCTTCTTTTTGCACGTCCCTCTTTGTATTATATATGAAACTCACTACAAATTATTAAGTCTGTACAGCCTGATTAGTTTTTTTTACTCTAGGTCTAACCTCAAATACAACTAATAAGAAAGGAGGTGGGATTTTGTGATATGTGTTATAGTTAACATGAAACTTTAGCAAATTTTCCCAAGTGTTAAACACTGATGCTGTATAGTGATTGAAAAAAAGCCACTATTTTTCATGTAGAGTTTCATGCAGAGATTCTGATTGGGGTTTAACAGGTAAAAAGGGGCAGGTGTAACTAGGGAAAAACAGAAAACTGGGATAATAGCTTGAAGGAATCTATTCCATCCTGAATTATGTATAGATTATTTAAACAAAAAACAAAAATTGAGTCAGACATGAGAAGCAATGCAAACAATAAATAACTGATTCTAACAAAGGGCTTTTATTTCATAAATGTTCTACCATGACTTTCATATATAGTTTAGTTTCTCAACAATAAAGTTAAATTTAGAGTAAACAATTACAATTCCTAATAGAAAGAATGTCTTCCATGATTACCAGAATAGACTGAAAGCACTGCCAGTATCATAAAACAGCTATGGTCAGGTATTAATGGCTTTTAACCGTTCAATTTTTTCTCCCTTCGGGTGTATTTTTTACTAGTCACATTTTTAACTTGTCAATGTTTGATGTTTTCAAACTGTAAAATTTCTAGATACTTGTAGGTTTCATTCTAATGACTCCTAATGTTGACAGGCCCATATTTTCATTTCCAACCATGAATTCTATCTTCCACTGTCTCATTGCTTTTTCTATAAACATTCTAATGTTTTTATTGACATCAATTATTTCCAAACATTTGATGATCAAATTCTATAGTAATGAATCAAATATCTTTTTATTATCAATTCAGAACATATATAAGTTGGTTTCTCGGCTTTTGTAAAATTATTTTATCAATTAGAAGTTGTCATTTTGTGCCTCTATTTTTCCTTTTATTTCCTTTCTCTTCTACTGGAAGGATATTATTTTCTTCTAATATAATCTGTGAGTAGTTTAAGCATTGTAGGCAAGCATATTGTTGACCTATAATTTCCTGATGTTGTCTCTTTCTGTAGGTCCTTTTTGAACGAGATACATTTTGCCAGTTATTAACCAATTGTTGATGTCTCCTTTAAGTAATACTTCATTAAGTGTTTAGCTATAATTTGAGGTAGGCTAGCCAGATATTTGAACAAAAAGCCATGTAATTGATCATTTCCAAGACATGTCCAGTGTCAACTGAAAATGAATAAGGAAGATGGCCGCAGCCATGCTCATTTTCAAAGTTGACAGAACCATGATATCCCATTTTTAATCCTTTTTACTGCACTTTTAACTATTTCTGCTGTTGTTATTAGTTTTCCATTTGATTTTTACTAAATTTATCTTCAAATTCTTTTATTCATCCAGCATTTTATTTTATATTTATTTTATTTTATATTCCTATTAAATCTACATAATCCAGATTTAATAATATCTTAAAGGACTATCCTAGATATATAAATACCAAATAACAGTTACCCTCACCATAATCTGTAATAAAACATATTTTTAAATCTCTGGAATGATGGATGGACAGCAGTTTTAAGGCATTTGAAAGTGCTGTTATAATCTGTCTCAGTCATCTTTTCTCAAGATTAAATATACCAGCTCCTTCAATCTCTCTTCATAAGACTTTGTTTTGTTACATTTTTCTAAATCTATTAGACCTTTATCTCTTATCTCTTTATCACTTAAATAAAATATGAATTGTTCCTGACCTCACAATCATGAAACGCAGAAATAACAATTCCTCTAACACTCACAATTTTAAGACTCTATGGTAGCATAGTACTGATAAGAAACATGATAACATTAACTGTTGGGATTAGCCTGTAAAGAAATTAAGTACTTCAGCCTAAATAGATAATCTTTGTGATTCCTCTCTGGATAAGGAAAGGACTTGAGATCACCCACAAGTGTGCCAGACATTTGTTCTTCATAAGGAGACTGTAAGACAGTGATTTCTGGCAGGTTTATTGCTCTGGAAGATGAGAGATTGTCATCTTTGCCCAAAATGCAGTTGGCACCTTTATAAACTCTGGGTTCACATACTTCCTTTCTTAATCATTTCAGAAATTGCCTGTTAACTATTTTTCAGATATTAGGAACTTCCATAATAGCAAGTTTTATTACACTTCAGTCCTTAGTGAAATAAGTTTTATACAATTTTAAGGATTTTTTAAAATCTCTCTTTTTGGAATAAACTGCAAAAGGGTATTTAGAACAGTGATTTTGGAAAGTTAACTCTGCTCACTGCCAGGAATTCGATCCTGACTGGCTCAAGTTTAACTCAGCCTTCCTTCCTTCCGAGGTCAGTAAAATGAGGACCCAGATTGAGGGCGATATGCTAATATTGTAAACTTTTTAGAGAGTGCTGTAAAAGTACTGCAGAGCACTATATTAGTCTAAGTCCTATTACTATTGCTAATTTATTAACCAACTCCAGGATGCCACTTCCCCAGGCTAGTTGGCAGAGCCAGGCCAAAAGGATGGGTGTGGATCTCACCTTGGGGAGCCCAATATTCCAGAGAATGGGTATCACTGCAGAAAAGGCTCTTATCCTGGACTCTGCCAGTTGAAATTCCTTGACCAATGGGGTCCACCACATGCCTCTTCTGCTGGCACGGGAGAGGTTCCTCAGATAATCTGGACCCATGCCATGAAGAACTTTAAAGGTGATAAGCAACACCTTGAATTGGACCCAGAAGCAGTGCAGCTCACGGAATAGTGATGTAACATGGGCCACACAAATGTGTTCTGTACCAGCTGACGCTTCCAGATACTCCTCAAGAATAGCCACATATAGAGCATGTTGCAATAGTCCAACCATGAGATGACCAGGGCTTGAATGACTGAGTGCATTGGACATATTGAAGGATATTTGTGAACAAATGATCCAGAAGTTAATTTTAAGAGTGTCTGCTATTAAGTCCTCAAGTTAATGGCAAAAGAAGAGCACACATTCTGAAGCCAACGCTTTATTCTTCTTCTGCTCACTCCAACACAACTCTGAGGCTCACAGGCCTCTCTCACACTAAATAGAATCCCCGGGCCAAAAGGTTACATGAGATGGTGCGCTTTTGCGCCTTGCGCATGCGCGCAGGCTGGCGCCACTTAGTCTGGTCCCGGGCAGCTTGCAACAGCCCGGGACCATAGCAACGTTCCGAGCCTGCTTTTGCAGGTCCAGGACACAACACCCCTTCCCCCCAGATAAAATTTAATCAACTTATACAGATAGGTATACGCGACCTCACAAAGGGACGTGGTGTGCTATTCACTATTGAACTGCACATATTGTTGAAGCTACTTCATAGCCACTCTATAACATGGTACCGTGCTATCATTTTGGAATTGGGTGTCCAATACCCACAATTCCAGCTCCCCCAAGCAGTAGGCACCTCCCTCATTTCCCTTGGCTTGACAGCAACTTCACATACTCTTCAAGGTGTTTGGGAGGTCTTCTAACCCTCTGTGACCTCCTCAGATTTTGAGAACACCCTTGACCTTCCTGTGTAGTTGTTGCAGTGGAGTTTCCCCCTCTTTGTTGCCCTGGTGGTCCCCGTGACCTGGGTTCTGTTGCCTGGTCTGCTTGCTTGCCCACCGGACTTGACAGACCAGGACTTTGCTCCAAACCATACCTGGTTGATCTGCCTGAGTGTAGGCTATCGGGACCCTCTACGTCCCACCCAGCATTTTGTGATTCTGTAGTATTCTCCAAGTCCACAATGGACCTATCATGGGAACACATTCCTTCACTCCCAAGCCCAGCAGCTGGGTTGTCTGGGGTCTCTGCAGTGCCCCAGTATTCTATTGCCCCACAGTCCGTGCTGGAGGTACCAGAATCAGGATTTGCCTCTCTGACTACCCCCTTGTATACTGACTTCCTTTTGGGAGCAATTGCAGCATTTGGCCAGTTTGTTTGGATGGATGCCATTTCTCTGGTGTGATTTGGGTTGTTTGGATGCTCCCGGTTATTCTCCCTGTCTGGAATACTGGGTTGGGGTTGTGAATAGTGTGAGTACCCCCTGAGTGACTCCCTGGCTGGAGTAAGTAATGGTGACTGTATTATTCCTTGCTGCCATGGATTCCTGTTAGGTACACTTGCAGAACCTTGGGAGGGGCCTTCCTCTGCCTCTCCATTTGCCCCTGACTGCTGACAGTACCCTTC